GTAGGAGTATGCACCTGTAACAATAGCTGAGTCTTAGCCAATTCCAGCAGCCATACCTCAACCACTCATACACTCTCGAGTGTGCAAACTGTGTTTAAATAAGGCAAATTCCAACCTGTAACCAATCCAGCTGTTTCTGTACCTCACTTCCGATTTCTGTACATCATTTTTTTTTTTAAATCTATAAATCTTCTTCCACCACGTGGCTGAACTAAAGTCTTTTTGAATCTACTGTGATTCTGGGGGGCTGCCTGATTCACGAATCATCCGTTGCTCTGTTAAACTTCTTTAAATTTAATTCGGCTGAAGGTTTTCTTTGATCAGCATTCCTATTCTGTTGAATCCCTTTGCCCTAGAATGGGGACAGTCAGAAGAGTGTTCCTTTCCCAAAGTGTCTAAGAGAGAGGGAGAGCCCATACTTCTGAAATGCATTCAGACCCACCTCCCTCATCAGCATTACAGAACTGAGGAATTACCTACCCTGCAGGGGCCAGCCACTGAAACCATTATTCCAGAGGCACTGGTGGAGCCCCAGAGGAAATGAAATAAAAATCGAGGTTCTGACCAAAGTTTCATCGAGATTCACCTTCATTCTGTCATGGAATCAAATCCTTACCGTAGGGCATGGCAGGAGATCTAGAATGACATGATAACAGTGGAGAATATTGGAGCTGTGGGAGGGAACAACTGGGAAAAACAGGAGAAAATATACATGTTTAACTCAGTAGACTTCAAGCTATTTACATGTTAATTAGGCAGAATATTTCATAGCTAATGAACTGATCGATCATGAGAAATAACAGAGAGATGACACATGGAGAATGCAACAGTGGGAAGCTGAGGTTCAAGTTCTGATGTTTGTTTACTGATACTTGTCCCCTGGCTTGTCCAGAACTTCATGAGGACAGAACTCCTCTAATAGAGAAGCAAGCTCTCACAGGACATGGTCCTCAAAATGATCTCACTTTCAAGCCTTAACTTTTTTTGGGTTTTGCCCTCTACAGGTTGAACTCCTGGCGTGAGTGTGTCTCTCAGTATTTGCACACATTGAATTGATAAAATTATTTTTGTTCTACATCTTCCAACTCCTAAGATATCTGAAAACTCTAAAATTTTCTCCTTTCAAATTTGGTTCTCACTGATTCATTGGGTTACGTAAACGCTCCACGTATGATGGGATATGGAAAGACACATCAGTAGTTTTTGCTAAATTTTTTATATTTTATTTTATTTTTATTTTCAAAAATAAAGATGAAGCCTCACTATGTTTCACAGGCTGATCTCAAACTCCTAGGTTCAAGTAATCTTCCCACCTCAGCCTCTCAAATTGCTAGGATTATAGGTGTTAGCCACTGTTCCTGAACATTAATTACTTATTTTAACTTTTTAATAGCATTTTTGTTCTGAAATGAGTGTAATTCAGGTGCTGGAAAAAATTTTCCCCTCAGACTCCTCTGCAGCAGCTCCAGGGCTGACATCTGTGTTGAGTGGGTTCTGGGCCTGCTCTGCAGCTCTGTCCTCACCCTGCAGGGGAGGGTGCTGTTTGGGCTCACAGAGCATCTTCTCCCAATGCTGCTGTCCCAGAATGAAGGGGCTGTCCGCTGTTCACAATGCTCTTTTAGCAGCATCTTATGCTTTTGAAATTATCTCTTGAAACAGTGACTTGTCATTACTATACCCAGTAAACTGCAGGGAGAGCCCAAGCACAGATTCTATGAAACCACCAGAGAGTCTCTTCCCTGGGACTGTCAGATGCAATGACACAGTCAAGGGCTACGAGGAGTCGAGAAAGTTTCAGAGAATTCATAAGAGCCTCATTTCTTTCAGAATTCTCTATTCAAAGGTCATGCCAAACAGTATCTTCACAGAGAGAACTACATGGCTCAAAGCCCACAAAAATTAAAACATACTTGTACACACACACACACACACACACACACACACAAGCACACACACACAGTAGTATATCTGATTCTTACAGTAATTGACTCCTAATTTGGGATATTTCCTAGTAGCAACCAAAGGTTTCTGAGACAGATCACAATCAAATTAAAATAAATTTTGCCAAAGTTAGGGCATGCCTGGAATGAAAATTAAAGTAATCACACAAAAGAGTGTGTGGTTAATGCTGTTCCCCAAAGATGATTTTTAGGGCTTCCAATACGAAAAGGGGGAGAAAAGCTGGCTAGAGGGGAAAGAGGGATGGGATGAAAATTTATATGTTATGAAAAAGAAGCACACAGGGAAATAGAAAATTATGTACTTTTCCTGAACTAAGTCAGCACTTTACATAAATAAAAGGAACAAAGAGTAACTATCTGTGAAGATATTTAACTTTTTTATCTATAACTATTTTCTTAAGAATGAAAGGAAAATCGGTTTCTTGTGTGGATCATCTTTATGTCCCCCCGCCATGACGTAATGAATTCAGATCACAAGTTTTTATTTTCCTTTCATATTTTCCCCACCTTTTCCTTTTCAAAATCTTTCAGAGGAAGCATTTTACAACCAAATGAGTTTCTAGTCTCCTGTTTTGTTTTATCTTTCATGGGTAGGAGGTAGTAGTCCTAGACAAGCAGGTTCTATGTTGTTAGTATAGTTCACTGTTTCCTGTGTTTCAAATGTTGGGAAGTCTCACATCCCATTAATAAGAAAACTGTGGGAGAAAAAGAGAAGTAAAACATAGAAAATAAAGGAGGAAACAACAAACAACCCAAAGGGGAAAAATCCTGAAAACTGATATAGACCTTGCAACTCTGGAGGCTGTACGTTAGTAGGATAAAAAACAAATATCTGAGTCAGGTCTCAGTCAATTTAGGAAGCTTATTAATATGGTTTGGCTGTGTCCCCCTCCAAATCTCATCTTGAATTGTATTCCCACAATT